CACCCACAAAAGCAAAATTTACAACAAGAATTATAAAAAATAACAAAATCCATGACAAAATTACAACAAAGATTTTAACACAAAAAATTTTGTTGCACCTTGTTTTATGACAAAATTTGGTGAGTTTTTCCGCCACTACTTTAGGATTCCTCACTTGGTCAAGTGTTTCACTCTTCTTACACCCTAATTCTTGCTTCCCAAGCTTTCTTGAAAAACACCTTCTCCTTTCTTCTTAACAATACCTAAGATGCTACCTTGAAGAAGAAGTGAGTTTCCAAGAAACAAGGAAAGTAAAATGATTATCTTGTTTCTTTGAGTGCTCAAGATGCAAGAATAAAAAATACAAGAAAAGGTCAAACAAGAAATGGACACAATCAAGTGATTAGAATTATAATTTGACAAACTTAAGAAATTCAAAAAAAGCCAAGCAAGAAAATTTGGCAAATTTTAAAAGAAGGCACTCAAAAGAAGCCTAAGAATGGATTACAAAACAAAAGACTGAAGTTGAATCACTTGTAAGCCCAATTTGAGCTTTGCCAAATCATACACTCCTTTAGTCTCTTTTAATACATACACATTTCAATTCCACTTTTGTTTTTAAGGAGTGTGAGACTTATGTAATAATTGCAAACATATTTTCAACTTTCTTTTCTTTTAGTCTCGGCTTTTCCAATTCATAATTTCAATTGTTCTTATGAGACTTAAGCCTTTTTCAAATCAAATTTAAATTCATGGGTGAAAAAGTCATGTATTCATGAAGTGTTTACTTCTTATTGCATTTAGTGCATTACCAATACATATTTTAAATCCTCTTATTGAAATTAGTCATTTCTTCAAAGATTTGTGCTTTGTAACGTTGAAAAGAGAAGTACTAATTAGGATGAAAGAAAATATCCCAATCATTCTTTGCAAGTTAGCGAGAATTTTCTCTTCAGCATTCTTTGATTCAATGGAACATCTCCCTATTCATCTTTCATATGAAGCATGACTTGGTAGACTTGTGCAATATAGGTGGATATATCCCTTTCAAAGGTATATAATATATTTTCCTATGTCATTTGAATGTCAATTGTATTATATTTATTAACCATAATGTACTTATTTAATTGTGTAGATTCATGGGTGGGTCTAAACAGTAAAAGATAAAGCCAAAGTTGAAAGATCTATTTATGCAGCTTTTTGCATCGTGAGACAACATACTTTTGTTCTCATTATTTCAACAACTTCATGTTGTCATCATGACAACCTAGAAATGAAATGTAATTTCAAAGTCAAACCCAAGTGGTAATGTTATCACGACAAGTTGGTCGTCCTTCCGGATGAGAGTTGATCGACTGTTTATCTGATGCTGAATTCATGTAAGTGTATGTTCATGTATTAATCAATTGTCAAGAAGTTAAATCGTACCTTGAGTAGGCTTAAAACACTATATTTCAATTTGATTGTAAAATTTTTTGTCATATCCTTCAATTAACCTTTTAGCATGGTTTATTTGATCAACTCATTTTTGCAATCGGAGCAAATAAGTGAATCACATGCTTCTGCTCTAATACATGCAGATTTTCCTATGTGGTTCAAGGAACATGTATGTATCGTACTATTCTATTTAAAATAACTTATTTGTTCTAATGTAACATTTGGTCACTCTGATTTTTGTAGATCCACAATGAGCCATGTAATGTAAGAAATAAGACCTAAGGAATTTGTTCAATCAATCAATGCGATGCTGAATTCATGTAAGTGTATGTTCATGTATTAATCAATTGTCAAGAAGTTAAATCGTACCTTGAGTAGGCTTAAAACACTATATTTCAATTTGATTGTAAAATTTTTTGTCATATCCTTCAATTAACCTTTTAGCATGGTTTATTTGATCAACTCATTTTTGCAATCGGAGCAAATAAGTGAATCACATGCTTATGCTCTAATACATGCAGATTTTCCTATGTGGTTCAAGGAACATGTATGTATCGTACTATTCTATTTAAAATAACTTATTTGTTCTAATGTAACATTTGGTCACTCTGATTTTTGTAGATCCACAATGAGCCATGTAATGTAAGAAATAAGACCTAAGGAATTTGTCTAATCAATCAATGCGATGCGTTAAAGAATGACACACATACTTTGATAATGGGTACAAATTTCATACACATGCATGGAACGAGGGTAAAAAGTCAAAAAATAGTGGAGTGTATGTTAAAGGCTTGAAAGAGGGTGGTGAAGACGATTTTTTTGGAGTCATTATTAAAATATATGAGCTAGGGTATAATTCTTCAAATTATCCTAAAAAAGTTGTGGTTTTTTACTGTGAATGGTTTGATCATTTAAAAGAGGTACAAAAGTTGATCATATATATAATATTATGGATATTCGAATGGGTTTAAGATATGAGTCATTTGATCCATTTATCCTTGCACATAATGTAAGACAAGTGTATTATGTAACATATCCAACATTTTAAATAAACAAGCACGGTTGGTGTGTTGCAATCAAAACAAAACCAAGAGGTCATATTGATTCAGATGTTATGGAAGAGGATACACCTTACCAAGTAGATGAAACGTTACATGGAAATGAAGTCATTGAAGTTAAAGGTATATCTAGATTGGAAGAGGAAGAAGAGGAGGAGGAGGAGGAGGAGGAGGAGGAGAAAAAAAGAAGAAGAAGAGAAAGAGGAAGAGGAAGAAGAAGAGGAAGAGGAAGATGAAGATGAAAATGAAGATGAAGATGAAGATGGAGAGGATGATGAAGAAGAAGATTAATGTTTTAAAGAAAATTAGGACCATTCTTATGTTTTAATTTTGTAATAAAAACATATTGTACACAATGTTTGTTACAAATTATGTGATTAATTGAGTCTACTTTAATTTATATATCTTTTTACATCGTGAGTTATTTATAATAATATTTTTGTATGTATAGATGTCTACAGGAAGTTATGACCTTGATTCCCACCCTCTGATGGTAGTAAAGGAAAGGGGATATCAAAGAGAAAAAGACCACTTTATGTTTTGAAGGTGGTTTCCTCATACCCTTTGCATCCACTACACGTAGACCATTCATACTTGTTGCATCCATACCATCACCGACCTCTGTTATAGGACCCACACCATCCCCTTCACCACTTGTACCTATCATATCCACACCATTTACAACACCATCCACATCTGTTACACCACCCATACCTTCCTCTGCAGTAGATGTGGCATTTTGCTTATCCCCATCTCCAATTGTGGCACCCACCCCATCTCTAGCTGTGGTACCCACTTCCACTCCAGTTGTGGCATTCACCCCATCTCCAATTGTGGCACCTTCATCTAGTCCAACTATGGCACCGGCCTCCACTACACCTGTGGCACCCACCTCATCTCTACCTTCGTCTCCTATTATGACCTCAGGACCTTCCTCCTTTCAAGGTCATTTCCCTATTGGAGATGTTGATTCAGAGGTTGGAGAGGATGATCATTCTCTCCATGATCGACCGATTATTGAAGCATACAGTCAAGGGTAATATTTAATTTCAATTCTCAATATATATTATAACTAATTATTTATCAATTTCATAACATATATAACTTGTATTACTTTTTCAGTGTAATTAGGTTTCTTCCATCGAGAGTTACATCACAGACTATAACAAAAACTATAAAACAACAATTTCTTGAGCTTTGAACCATATGGGGAGTGATACCTAATAATGATAAAGAGTCATTTTTTTAACGTTTTAAGGTGACTTAACAATTGTTTATATACTTAATTAGGTTATAAGTTTAATGTTATTATTCATTTCTATTAATGAATATGTATATCTATAATTATTGAATCTATGTTTTGGTCATTTCTGTATAATCTATATAACATTTACTATTTGTATAAATGAAAGTTCAATGAAAAGCAAAGCATGGAAATCAAACAAATAAGAATTTTTATTCAATGGCATCTCACGGACTTAGTAAAATGTTTAAGGACGTAAGAATTACTATCTAAAAGTCCTACTAAATTGGAAAGCATGTATGAGTAGGTTATTCACACATTAGATATATCATCTTAGATATGTGCAAACTCAGAAAAATAAGATATATGAAAAACTAAAAAAAAAATATATATATGAAAAAGCTAAGAATGTTTATACAGACAACTCCGTTAACACTCATGAAGATATTATTTGTATAATAAGTCTTTTAATAACATATTATAATTTTATAATATCAATTAAGTTTATAATTCTTATTTTATTAATGTAATATAGGCAAAGAGCTTCAGACGAGTCTTTTACTTATTTTATTTTGATTTCTCTTCTATCAAACACCTCGTATTTTTTACTCATTACTTATTTTCTCTTTATATATCCTAACATTATTAAAACTCCAGACGACAAAATAATAATAATATACTAATTGAACTAAGAAAAAAAATAAAAAATGCACCGAGCAGCATCTGAATTTTCCAAAGGCAGTGTACGGACGCAGAAAAATGCCAACGGTGTAAGCGCGTGGAGTGGAAATTTCCTGGCAAATTATTGACATCATAGTTTCGCAATTTCTCTTCTTCTTCATTTCACTCGGCTTGGCATTTTGTCTTTTGCAACCTTCGCCACTTTCGCCTAACTTTTTCGGTCATTCCAAGGTCTTTAATTAAAAAATTATAAATAAATTTTATCCTATAAATATATAAAAAAAATAAAAATATCAAAGCTAATCTGTTTTTTTTTTGTAGTAATAAATAATTTTCTTCTCTCTCTCGCTATATATATATAAAGAATAATTTTTTATAAAATAACAAAGTTCTATGGGTTGAGCGGTGTGAAGTCACCTTTAGACTACCCTACCTAAGAACCCCTGTTGATTCTCTGAAACCGCTAATAGTACCCACCCCATCTATATATAACATCACGAGGTGTAGTGCCTGACAAAATCGTCCACACCAAAAAACGAAGAAAAATAAAATTTTCTCGTCGTTGGTACGGCACATTTCAGTGAAGAGGGAATACAAAGTGTATGGTCAAGAGATCAAAGATGGAGATTATGCCACCAGGTTATCGTTTCTACCCCACAGAAGAGGAGCTGATTTCGTTCTATCTTCACAATAAACTCGAAGGTGAAAGAGAGGACATGAATCGCCTCATCCCAATCGTTGATATATACGACTACAACCCCTCTCAACTCCCACGTAAAATTCTTACATCATATTCCTCTCTTTCTCTTTTGTTTTTCTGATTATTTTTACCCTTTCAATCAAAATGGAGCTACCTAGACTTCCAAGCTATGGTTCAACTATTGTTGTTTCACGTATAAAAACAATTCACATTATACATAATTCCGAGTTACAATAAATATAATTCAATGTTCCTTTTCTCCTCACTTTTTTCATGAGAGTCAAGATCAGACATGCTTTAGTTTTGGCAAGTAAATTTCATGAGTTTCCTCTATCAATTGCATACTCATGTGTATATATATATATATATATATATATATATATATATATATATATATATATATATACCTTCCGGGTCAAAATCTGTGAATGTAATTGGCCATAAAATATTGAATTTTATTTTATATTTTGGGGTTGGTTTGCAGAAATTTCAGGAGAGGCGAGTCTGAGAGACACAGAACAATGGTTCTTTTTCATTCCGAGGCAAGAGAGTGAAGCTCGAGGAGGAAGACCAAAGCGTCTCACAACCACAGGGTACTGGAAAGCTACGGGGTCTCCAAATCATGTTTTTTCTTCGGATGATCGCATCATAGGCATTAAAAGGACTATGGTTTTCTACAGTGGAAGAGCTCCAAACGGAGCCAAAACCGATTGGAAGATGAATGAGTATACGGCCATCAAAGGTGAATCTTCCTCTTCCACTAAGGCAGTTCCCATGGTACGTATCAATCTTTTATATCTGAAAGTATAACCATTAGGGTTACTTAGATTATAATTCTTGCCTTTGCTTTTTTAATTTCTTCTGTTGTTATTTAATCTTGATGGTTTATCTTTTCTACTCTCTGCATTCATTGTCTTCTTCCTTCTCAATAAGAAATAGAACAACACCATAGAAAATAAAAGAAAAGAAATAAAGCATCCTTATTATTTCTTAAGAACAATTTGGTTTGAATTATATAATATTGCATGAAATTCATGGATATAACGCAATTTTATGCGCTACGTACATTATATGTAGTGCAGTTTTTATATTATACATAGATCATTGTTGCACTTACTAATATTTATACATAACTAACCTTTTCATTTATTATATGTTGAATAATTGCAGTTAAGGAAGGAATTCAGTCTATGCAGAGTGTACAAAAAATCCAAGTGTTTGCGTGCATTTGATAGAAGACCAGCACCAAGGAGGGACACAGTGAGGTATTCAAGTGCTCAAAATGGTGAAGAGCAACAAAGGGGTTCAGCTTCAAGATCTTATGATTATCATCATCATCATCATCAAATTGTGGGGAGAAGTGCAACAAGTTCACCAGAGAGTTCTTCCTCCGGAGACCTTGACCATGACCAACCCCCCCTGCACGGTGAGGAAGCAACCCAAATGGATGGCGGCAACGACCCTTTTTTGGATTGGGAGAACGTGGATTTGTTCTTGGGATCTGAACCATGAAGGGTTCGGATTATGTGAAATCTATCTAGTATCTATGCCTTGCTGCTACAGAAACACTCACAGAATAAGCACAACAAGGCTTATTATGTTGCAGAACTACACTACTTTAATTACTTTATTTACTTGCTAGTTTTGCATAGATGTGTAGCGACTAATTTGTCTGGTGAACTATCACAAACTCTTCGTCTTGTGATAAATAGCATCAATATTCCCCCTCTTCATGTAAATCTTCAGGAACTTAAGAATCTTGAGTTAATGTTATGCAAATTACACGGACTGTAGTTTCTTGAAATTCAACATGACATCTTGTGTTTTTTTTTTTTTAATGTTAATGTAACGGTTTACAAAGACAAGAATATATCCTACAATCTCAAAATAAAAAATACGGAGATGTTAACGTTATTTGCACTTTTAAAATTAATTATCTTTTTACTTGTTTGAGTCTGGATTAATATGACCAGAAACTTTTTTTTAATTAAGTTTTTTATAAGACAATTTTAGTTTTTTTTTTAAACGAAGAAGTCTAGATATCACGATTTTTATATAAATTTATATGGAATTTTATATTTAATAATTATTATAATTAATAATAATATTTTTTATTTTATTAATAATAAATTAAATAATAATAATAAGTTATATTATTATTATTATTGATAAAATAAAATTAATATTATTAAAATTAATATAATTATAATAACTAATATTATTATTACATTCATAATTATAATTCACGTAATTATTATTATTATATTAATACTATTAAAATAAAATAATATAAAAATGAATATTATTAATAAAAATAATAATATATTAATAATTATATTATTATTAATATTAATAATAAGATAACTATATTACTAAATATAAGTTTTTTATTATTAATGTATTATTGTAATAAAAATAAAAAATAATATTAATAATGAATATTTATTGATAAAATTATACGTTTATTAAATAATAATAATAATAATAATAATAATAATAATAATAATAATAACAAATATATAAATAAGTAATAGAATTATAATTATTAAAATAATTATTTTATTTTTAATATTATTTTTATTTTATATAATTATAATTATTAATTTATTTTATTATTGATAATAAAATTGACATAATATTAGTTATTATAGTTATATTATTTTTAATAATACTATTTTTATTTTATTAATAATAATATAATATTAATTTAAATAATAAAATAAATAATAATTTTAGTAATAATATAAACTATAATATTATTATTACTTAATTTATTATTAATAATATAAAATATATCATTATTAATTATAATATAAAATTAAAATTCGTATTAAATAATAAAATTTCTATATAAATTTACATTAAAATCGTGTTACCTGACTTCTTCATTAAAAAAAAAACTAAATAATTTTATAAAGTATAACCTATTTACGTTTAGTCACAGCACAATTTACTAAAATCTATAATTTTTAAAAAATTTACGTATCTCGTAAATTAAAAAAAAAATTGCCCCATTTGATAAAAATAAAAAATAAAAACCTCGAATCTACTCATTTAACAGAAATATGTCGATTGTCACTGCATAGTGATAACACACAAGGACACAACATACAAAGATCCATGCAACGAACTCCTCAACATAAAACCTTTAAGCATTAGTAATAATTGTTTATAATAATGAGAAAACAATTATTACATTTATTTTAAAATTCTTTATTTTGTTTGAAATTTTTTCATTTGTGAAATAATTAATTAATGGACCAAAAAAGATGGAAGTCGATGAATGGAAATAATATTTTTCTCAGTCTAATAGTGTAGTTTTAAATTTAAATTTAGATACACATTTATGTTAATAAATATTAAAAGGAATAATTTTTTTATTTCTAATAATTTCATCTCATAAATAACATGTTTTTTATGTTAAAAAAATTGTCTCATAAATAATACATACAGATTGTATTTTATGAAAAAAGAAAAAAAAATTAAGCCTTCGTTAAAATCCCATCTTAAGACTCACACTTTCAAACTCTAAATTTGATGAGTTATATGTATTGCAATATTTTTTATTTTTTTATGGATTAAATATGTTTTTTATTATTATAATTTGTAGTGAAAATTAATTTTTGTCTTTATATTTTAAAACTTAACAAATTAGTTGTTAATTTTAAGAAAATATATAAACTTAGTATTTTATTTTATCAATTTTAAAATTTAATAAATTAGTTCTTAAAGTTAATAAAAATATATAAATTTAGTCATTTTATCAGTTTTATAATAACATAAAAATATTATTTAGATATCAAATTGAAATATAAAAATATATTAAAACTAAAGTTAGTTTTTTTTTATCAATTCTATTATGCTTAAAAGTCATAATTAAATTAAATTTTGATATATATAAAAAAAATTGAATTCATGTATTTTTGAAAATTAGAAAATCAAATTGATTTGTTTGAAACTATAAAAAATAAAAACAATTTTGAAAATATAAAAAATAAAGCAACTTTTTTAAAAGAAAATATATAAAGATAAAAACATATTCTTCTTTCATTTATTAGTGGAATAAATATAACATACTTTTACTATATATATTAGGACGTCAACTCTTTATTTAAACTTATATTATAAAATTTGAATGGGATTAATACAATGTGATCTTACTTATATAGACATTTAATGATACAATGGTAATTCACCAGCAAATTAATAACGATATCAAACTAACTTGTTATTAATAATACAATGCAAGCATTTTTATTTTCAAATGCTTTGCATTTTGATTTTTATTAAAGGTGATAATTCAACTACATTTTCCATGTTTTTACTTGTAATTTCTCCCTTGAATTATATTATGATCATTGCACCTCTTAATTGTCAAAGCCATATATGATTATTCAACCAACCAATAACTAACTTATTTGTATAAAATATTGATAGTTATTTTGAGTTTAGAAAAAAATTATTAGGATTGAGAAGACAAGCGATAGTAACGTGTGAACAGAAGAAAAAATGGACCATATTAATTGAGAGGAAAAAGAAAGGTGTTGAAATGTGGCATAGACGGATTGACCTCCCTAAAAAACGCCATTAGTGGTCCTTCCAAACCCTTAGTCCTTAACTTGACCATAAATCAAGCTAAACTCTTCTCACTAAATACCTTATGGACCACCCCACATTAAATGCAATGATGATGGCAATAAAATATGTCAACAAAATTGCTCATGTTTTAGAAATCCCAAAACAGTGTAGGTCTAACAAATTACTCAGCTACTCTCAAATTCATAATTTTACCTCGTTTAATCTTTTAATTCAATAAATAAAAAATGAGGAGAGATAAATTAGTCTATTTTTTTAAATATTTATATATTAGTATTAAATAATAAATATTAATAAATTTAATTTAAATTATTAATCACAATTTTATATATTTTATAGGTAAATATAATAATTAATTAATTTACTAATTAATTAAAAAATATTAATTAATAAATAAAAATTTAAAATTTTTATATAATTTAAAATTTAATTTTAAAATAAAAAAGGAATATATATATATAAATTAATTAATCTAGTAATATGATGATAAGATAGATGATGATTAAATTAATTGTCATCTCTATTTTTATAAATAAAATTATTTTAATATAAGTTTCACATCAATTAAAAATATAATTTATATACTCCTTTTAACTTAAGAGACCTTTTAATAAAAAATCGTAATATACGAAAACTTTGAAAACGAATGCTTGACCATATATATTATTCTTCATGTTATTATTCTTCATGACCAAAATAAATCCTTTGTCTACCCGAAATATAATAGACAGCAGTTTGGACACGGAACTGTAAAAATAATTGTGGACTTAAAGTTATTCGTTGTTGAAGAAATTTTTAAATATTTTTTTTCGCATTTAAAAAAAATAATGTTTTTAATTATCACTTTTCTTTTTAAGCGTTGGTTATGAAAAATGTATATTTTATTGTTTTTTATTTAAATCTTATATTAAGAAACTTTTAGAATAAAAAAATTATTTATTTAAAATTAAGTATTAAATTTTTTTAAAAATAAAAATAATAAAATATTATTTTGATTTAAATAAATATAATAAAGATATTATTAATGTTTAATATTTCCTCACATTTTTATTATATATATATATATTAAATAAAAAATATTGAAACATGTAAAACATATTTCATATATTAAAAATACATATAAAAAATTCCTCAAAATTCGCATGGCATTCAACGTTATAACAAGAGCACAATTCCTACACATTTAAATTTTTAGGGTTTTAAGTAACTACGGTATATTAATAAAGATCATTTTTTATTAATAAAGAATATATTTTAATATAAATCTTATAAACATAAATTCTTTAAAATATAAAAAGCTATCTTCCCTAAGAAACTTATATTAAAATAATTTTATTAATAAACTATTTATTTGAAGAAATTCCCTTTATAACAACAAAGAAAATATGATAAAAGAAAAAATTATAAAAAATATATTTTATTTATGATAGAAACTAGCATAAAAATTATTTATTTAAAAAATGATAAATGAACAAATTAAAATTAAGTTTTTATTTAAGTATCAAATTATTTATATAATTACTATTTATTTTTTTAATGAAATAATTTTATAAATTAATACTTTAAAATTAATATATTTTAAAATATTTGATCTTTAACTATATTAAATTATTTATTTCATTGTTATAATCACTTTCATATTTATAATTTAAAAGTCTAATATATATATATATATATATATATATATATATAATAATTATGTATTTAAATTATAATAGTTTTATAAAATAATATATTTTTTTATAATAAATTAAAAAAATATGTAAATTACAATAAAGATTATAACATTTTTTTTTCATTTTTCTTGTTATTAATAAAGACAAATATTTTCATTTTCATTGTTTCTTACACTAATCTCTTCTAATTTAACATATTCCCTCTATGACAACTACTTTACGTATGTTGATTACTCTAAA